AGGGAGAAGGGGGGAAATCAATGTTTCTTGCCATTCAGTTCCTACTACCTACACATCGAGGGAGTCTTCTAGAACACAAAGTGAGGTTTCAGAGGAAAGCTGGCTACCCACACATGCTGTTCACCACTCAGCATCCGTCTGGGTTTATACAAGGCGTGCCTCGAAGGGGCTGCAAACACTAAGCAGATTTTCTCATTCATTCCTACGCGAGCACCACTGGGGACGTGGCACGGGTCGGAAGTATGCCTTCCACTTTGTAAACAGGTTTGGAGGTAGGACTGACACACAGAGAGGGGATGCAAGTTGCCCGAGGTCACACAGGGACGTCGTTGGAAAGTCAGGACGCCATGCTTTCAAGGGCTTTAAAAGGCTTCGGATAACAAGCAGATACGCTTCTGTCTTCAAGGTCCATCTCCGAGAAGATCCTCAGGAAGCCAGTAACAGGCTCTCTCTGGGGAGAGGAACCAGGGCTGGAAGGCTGCTCTTCACACATTTGCTGCACATTCTGAATTTTTTATGCATGTGCATATATTTCTGATTACCAGTTTAAAAGATTATAAGGATCGGACTCTGATGTTTGAAAGCCATGAAAGCGGGCAGCTATGGATAGTGGATATTCAAATGGCAAACAGGTATAATTTGCCACCCTTCTAATCCAATTTCCAGGAGAACAATGCCTCGCTCAGGGAGAGGAGTTGGGAGGGCTCGGCACCTTCTCGGGTCTTCTGTGCACGGTGGTTACGAATGCACTCTTTCCAGCACGCAAGAGGGTGCCTGTGCAGCTCTGATGTGGGGCACGAGGCCTTCCGAGGGATCTGCTGCCAACCGGGCTTGGGTCCAATGAGCACCCACTTGTGGGTGCCCCTCCCTGTAAAACCCCAAAGTAGGTGGAGAGCCCTCCTAACCTCCCTCACCCCCAGCCCAGTGCCTTGGTAGGTCCTGTCTGTTCCAACTTCACCTACACCATGAATCCATCCGCCAGCCAGGCGTGTCCCTGCCCCCTCCACCAGCCCAAATCCCATCGCTGCCTGGCCAGGCCGATGGCAGTGGTCTCCTAAAGGGCTCCCCCCCTGCCTTCTGCCTCCAGCAAAGCTAATCAGATCGTGTCACCCTTCTGCTCAAGGCCCTCCTGTTTCCCCACTGCAAGTATGCGAGGATCCGAACTTCTCCTGCACAGGTCTTTCCCCAACACCCCTTCTCTGCTCCCATCCCGGTCCCTGCAATGCCTACCGCCTGTTCCCTCGTCACCTCAGTGCCTGCGCACTTGGGGGGCATTCCACAGAGCGCTGATTCCTCCTGAACTGTCAGGCTGCAAATCAAAAGTCAGATCCTCAGAGAGCCCTTCTCTGGCTCCCTGGAAAAAGCTGGTGCGCCCAGCCCACCTGAGGCTGGTGGTGTTGCTAACCTGCTCCACGGCATGCGCCACAGAGCAGGTTCTCTGATTTGCTTACTTTTTAATTCATTATTTTCCCTAATTGGACTTCAGTCTACATGAGGTCAGAAACTGTTTGCCTTAGCTCTCTGAATAGTCAGATTTTGATGAATATTGGTTAAATGAATAGATAAATGAATAGATTGATGAGTAGAGTGGGTAGGTGGATGGATAAGTGAGTGGACTGTAGGAAGAATGGGTGGGTGGATGTGGGTGCACAGATATGGGTGGATGGATGGGTGGAAGGATGGATGAGTAGGTGACTGGCTGGGGTCTATTCAGCTAAAGTGACACCCTGAGGTCTCTCCTTTCTCTCCCAAATAGACCCTCCCCAGATGCCCCATGCTCACGAGGTTGGATCTGACTTAAGAGGAATGGGAACTTTAGACTCCCATCCCTTGTGTTGAGAATGTTTTTAAAAATATCTGTAAGGTCCCATGTAGAAATGGCCCCAGGTTCTCTGCTTTTGGACCTCAATCACGTGCCCACATTCCTAGACACTTCTTTCATGTGACTGCTCGGTAGGTGGGTGGGAATCCCACGCAGGAACCAGCTGGAGTCACTGGACACATTCAGCAATGAGCAGGTGTGTTTTTACCATTTTGCTCTTCAGCTCTGCGTCCCTGAGCAAAGTTTTTGACATAAGAGGGGGTGGGAAGGGGAGAAACTTCCTGAATGATTTAGAAACTGACTCCATTGAGTCTTGCTTCCTATTGCATTTTCTTTAATTACATTTGCATCTGCAGTGGGGTGGCCTCAGCCACAGCCGCCTGCCCAGACCGTAACCCTGCCGCCCACAGTGGGTAATTGGCCCAGGGGTCTGGCGCAGCACCCAGATCTCCTTGGCTCACTGGGCCATGTCTAGCGTGAATTCTAAGTGATTTAATGAGCTGTGCTGGCAGCTCCGCACCCGCACTGCAGCAGGCACGCCCCTCGGACGTTTTCTGCTTGCTCACTCAGAGGAGTTGGGGTCAGCCTCCCACTCTCACACTTGCCCAAGAGCCACCTGCCCCAGGCACCTGGTTGTGGTGGCATGTGACATCCACACGCTCCCTCGGTGTCCGCCCTCCATCACCCCTGCCAAGGTCACAGTTGTACAAGGTCACTGTGGGGTGCAGTTGGCTCCCCTAGGCCCAGCTCAACACCCTCTGTGGAAGTCCTGTGCTAGCCAGGGCAATACCATTGTTCTGTCCTCCCAGCACATCTCTTGAGGTAACGGTTCGATCTCGAGAGGAAATCTTGGCTCTCCACCTCACCAGTTTCTCTCAATTCCAGGCCAATTCCTTTGCCAGCCTTGGGCAGTAATGTCTTCACCTTGGGGAAGAGGGGGCCATGGGAACAGGTCTGTGTCCCAGCTAGCCGGGCCTTACACGTGGGCTCAGGCACCTGTCAACAGGGCCTTCCCCTCTCTGCTTCCTATGAAGTGGATCTACACGGTCAGCAGTCAGCAGTGGGGTGACGGGTGCAAGGTGGCCAGCCCGTGGTGGAGGGCAATAAATGCTGCTGTTACGCTTGGCCCATTCACATCTTGTCCCACGAGACCTCCAGCCTGCCTGACCCCTTTGCCATGGGGAAGTCAGGGCAGATACCCACACTCTGGTCAAGTCCAGGGCTTCTACCACTTGCTTAGAAGCCAACGGTTGGCCTCGGTGTGGTTGGACACCGAAGCAGGTGGTCAGCACACATGCAAAACAAAGCCCTCCTCTGGGCATGAAACCCAGGGAAGCGGGGTTGGCAGGGATCTTGGAGGTCATGTGGGCCGATCTGGGATGACAAAGGCCAGGAGCTCACACCTCCTCAGAAGCCTTGTTTTATCCCTGAACAGCTATGACGGCTCCACCTGTCTTCTGCTGGCCACGCTCAGTGTGGGTCCCGTGCATCTGGCCCTGCTGTCAGCCACCTGACGTGTGACCCAGCCAGCCAGGCCCTGGGGCGTCCCTCTTCCCACTGCAATCAAGTTAAATCCTTCAAAGGCTCCCCTGTGGGAAGCAGCCAACTGTGGAGGTGCCTGTTTCAAATGCCGAGTGTGTGCACACACCTCCTCCCTGCCAACGAGCCTTTGGGGGAGAGGGCTCTGCAAACGCCTTGGCCCGTGGGGGAGCCACTGCCCAGCTGCTTGCCTCCAGAGGCTCTGTCCACCGGAAGGCCCGCTCCCAGGCTGGACAGCCCTCGAGGTAGCCATGGTGATGTGCTCAGGGCTCTCTGAGCCACGGGCACCACCCTTGCCAGAGCGGAAGTGAAGAATGACAGGCATGCTGCCTGTATCCATGTATCCAGGACCCATTTTGACAGGTGGCCTCCTGCTGTTGCAGAAATGATTCATCTGACCCCAACAAAGACTTGCCTGGAGAAGCTGGGGCCAGTCATAGCTTCCTGGAAGCCACCTGGCTCGCAATGTGAGCTTTCTAGGTCAAAAAGCGGATAATCCTAGTAAGGGCTGGAGCATCTGCAAAGCCCCCTGGGAGGAGGACGGGGTCATCTGCTGGGTGTGGTTGCTCCTGTTCTAAGCATCTTGTTTATGAGAGGGGGTTGGGGCAGGTCAGCATTCCACTCCCGGAACAGGCCCTGAAGAACCAGAGGCGGGCACTCAAACAGACACATGTACAAGAACATCCTCGGGAGCACCACACACAGCAGCCAGGAGGGGCAGCCACCCAAGTGTCCCTCTGTGAAGAACGGACGAACAAAATGTGGCACACGGAAACGACGGAATGTTCTTCAGCCTGAATAAGGAAGGGAGTTCCCACACCTGCTAACAACAGGATGAGCCCAGAGGGCATCACGCTCAGGGAAACGCCGCCCACTTCCCGGCGGCGCCTGGAGCTGCTGCTGAGACGGGCACCACCCTTGCCCAGCAGACCGCCCGCCGTCCGCCTCAGCCTCCCCAGTGCCTCGGCCTCCCTGGGGCCAAAGGGAACGAGCACACAGAGGCCGAGGACACGTCCTCCATGGCCTGTGCCGCACGCATGTGGTTTCTACATGTAAAGTCACACCTGCGCCTCGCGCCGCATCACCCAGGCTCTGAGGCTCTCTGCTAGAACCACACAAGCCCCTTTTGAACAGCTGCCAGGGCCAAAGGCTCTGCCCGTGAGGCACCATGCCTGTGAAGGGGGATGAGCCTTCCTCGTGCAAACCTCCGCTCAGAAGCAGCACGAACCCGGAACCGGCTGAGGTGGAGACCCGGAGCCCCCACAGTATCCCCCCAGACCCCCGGGGGTGCTGCTGCCTCATGGCTCCGTGGCCAACTGTTGTCACCTTTAAGTTTAGACTGCTTCCCCGCCACCGGCGCCAGGATTTCCTCCTCCGGGAAAGGTGGTCCTCTCCCCTGGGCCACCCTGCAGCTGTGCTCCAGCCCGACCCCAACCGCAGGCAGTGCAGAGACTGCCTCTCTGGCTGTTTCTCTGGCACATGGTGGCTTCCATGATCTTAGCTACGTTCACAGCGCACACACGCGACAGGAACAGCCTGGGAGATCTGAGTGTACCACGCAAGACGGTCCGGCGCTTACACGGCACATCCGAGCATCTTTGACCAGAGGGGGCCTGGCAGAGAAATAACTACGTCTTACCTGGAAGCATCGAAGCTGTCGTAGGAGCCGACCGTGTAGTGCCTGAAGAGTTTCTTGCTGCGGTCCGCACGTGTTTCTGTACAGAGGAAAGAAAAACATTGTTTAGAAAACTCACGGTCCCCAAGGGCTGAACCCAGGCCGGCCGGGCCTTGTTTATCTGACCTATGAAGTGTGAGACCCACTCTCCTGAGGAAAGATCTGGGAAGAAGAGGAGGCCTCGATCTGGACCCTAAATCTGTGAATCTTGGGGAACACCGACGAACCCCCAGACTGACTCCCGTAGAGTCAGGAGCTCCATTCCAAAACGCAGGCAGAGCCCTGGGGTCCTCGGCTCCTGGAGGACTCAGGAGGGAGCAGTCTGCAAAGAAGACAGGCAGGGCCATGCAAGTTCAAGCTGGAAGGGCAGCAGCCCGGTTGGCGCACAGCGTCCGCTGCAACAGCATTCTCAGGTTAGCAAAGCTGAGGGCCAGCGGACAGCCGCCTTTGGGGAAAAAGGAATGTTTACTGTTATTTTCCTCATTATAGCTGCTTTTCCTTAAAAAAAAAAAAAAAGAAACGAAAAACATGATTAACGTTCCTAATTAAGTCCTCTGCTTGCTTCCCTTACTCAGCAGATTCAGATGAAATTTCATGGGAAATGATATGAACAATGTAATTAGATTTAATAGATAGCTCAGGGCTGGAGGGAAAGAAACGCATACCACCACAAATAGGAGAAACGTGGGGGCTCATGATTTATTCTTTCTGTACTCCCCCCACCCAAATAAATTCTTCCGGACAATCTGCTTTCTAGACCTTGGGAAAAACAGAGCAAGCATGCGATCAGCTTCAGAAAAATGGCTCAGCGTCCCATTTAAACCCCCGTAACCCTGTTGTCAGCCCCCGATCCCACACTGCAAGGTGCACGTGATTTTACTCAAAGCCCCAAGCACATTTTCAGCTCAGGTGAGCACGCGTACGGGCACTGATTGAGGACTGCAGCTGGCTCAGCAAAGGCGCAGAAGCGAGCAGCCATTGCGGGTGGGGAGGCGCGGAGGTCAAGCCGGGACTACACTTCCCAGCTGCCCTCGCGCCCAGGTGCGGCCACGTGACTGTTCCCAGCCGCACATGCTATTGGAAGAGGGGACCCGCCCCCGCCCAAGCTTGGCTTCTATGGAAGCCAGCATGCTCTCCCCACCCTGTCTTGAAGTTTCTCCCAACTCAAAGCAAGAACTCCCAGGCCGTACAGGATCGCGGAGTCCTCTAGGATTCCTGGATTCCTGGCAGATGCCTGGGTCTCTGCGTGGAACAGCTGAAGTGAGCCGTTAAACGCGTAGGGCATCAGCTACGCTCTAGGGATTGACTTGTTACAGCAGCAAACGCTGCCTCACCGGCGGGCGGCGGGGTCCTCGCGCTCGCCTCTCCGCCCCTTTCCCGTTGCTCCCCCGAGGCTCCCACTGCACAAAATCCTCGGACACCATCCTCATCACCGGCGTCGGCGCTGACGCCAGCTGAGCGCTTCGGCTCCAGGCCCTGCTCTAAGGCGGCTCCTGGACTCACTCTCTCAAAGGGGGTGTGCGCACCCCTCTGTGGGCTCCACCGGTCCAGCCAGGCAGCCCCTCTGTTTTCTGCGCCCTTCAGGCCACCCTTCACTTCCTGCTCAGGCCCTTGGGAGGCCCCGTGGCGTCGGCCACTCCTCTGCCGCTGCCTGGTGCGTCCCTGCTGTGTCATCACAGGCTGCGTCCCCCTGATGTGTACCGGTCCCCCCACTGCACCAGACCTGTGGCTATCTGGGCTCATCCACTTGCTGGTCCCAGCACCCCAGGGAGGGAGGTGGGATGCCTGGACCCACTTTATGGCTGCTGAAGCCAGGTCACATACACACCCAGCAGCAGGGCCGGGAGCCGCCTGACGGCCCACGGCACCCCAGCTCGGGACTGCAGCCCACACCACTGACCCCTGTGGGGGTCCGAGTGTCCGTGCTCTCGTAGTGGTCAAGGGCAGGGAGAGCCTTACTTCTCTCTGTACCCACCCTCCACCCCTGTAACTCCCGGAAGTACTCAGTGTAAATGCTTGCTGACCTAAGTGGCCCACTGCACAACTAGCAAATAAAAACACAGCACGCACCATTAGTGTGCTTAGTGTACGGCCCCCACTGAGGTGGGTACTGGTCCAGTGAGCTGCACAGACCTCCTCTGACCTCGGCACCTGGACCAAACGTGCCCAGATGTTTCCTGTCCTCCTCCTCCCCCGCCCTGGCATCCGGCACCACACACACGCTCACTTCTACTCATCACACACCCAAGCCCACCTGGGAACCAGACCCTGTGCCCCAAATCCAGGGATCAGGAGACCCTAAGGCAGCGGGGCCTCTGCTCTGCAACCTGGGGCTCAGGATCACGGGGGAGGGGCGATGACAGAGCCCGAGGACACTGACCTCCCGAGGGCTGGGCTAGGGGTACCACCAGATAATCGAGTGGGGGAGCACAGGGGCCAGGCAACGCAAGTGGCCAGGCCCTCGAGAGACGAACGGGATTTGAGCCTTAGTGTGGGGGTGTGGGAAGCAGCTCACGAGGCGGCTGGACAACCGGGGGGACAGGCTGTTAATTGCTATGGTCACTCCTGACCGCCTCTGTTGCTTAAGCCCCAGGTGGCAGCTCTGTGCCGGCTGTCTAGGGAGCCCGAGCTGCCTGGTGCAGGCCCCTGGCTGAGGTCGGAGGTCCTGGGCTCCAGGAGCAGAGAGTGTGTGTGTGTGTGTACACGTGCATATGTTTACCAGAGGGAAAATGCGCTTCCGAAAGGGAACCGTTCTAGGCTAAGTCAGTTAACGAGTGGTCCTCAGACTTTGGGGTTTCATGGACCAATGAAACTTTAAACAAAGGAGGGAAGAATGAAGACCAAAGAACATTTATACATTTGTAATCTGGCTCAGTAAGGACACAGAAACAGTAAATTCCCCTCTGCTACCACAATTACTTTATGAGAAAGAGAACCTTTAGAAGGATATTATCTGACTGCCTTGTGAAGAACTCCTACTGCCCTCTGGCTCCTAGACACAGCCCGCTTCCGCTCTGGGCTACAGTCCCAGGGGGAAGGGGGCCTGAGGGACACAGTCCTCACCACCCCCACCCCATTGCCATTACCACCACCATCCCCACCATCCCCACCATCCCCACCATCCCCACCATCCCGATCCTGATCACCATCACTGTTGCTCTGATAAGTTCTCTTTTTATTTCCTTAAATAAATGAATAGACTAGACCTTGTTGCTTACACACCCAGCGTGTCCCACCTCAGGTTCCTGGGTGCCCTTGGAGGTCCCCGGGGTCCTCCAGAGATCCCAGCAAGAAACCTCAGGGCCTGCCCCTACCTCCTCTCTATCCTACACCGTCTCACTCCGTTCTCCACTTGCGTAATGACCGGCCACAAGCTTCAGGCTGTGGGGAAGACAGTCCCCTTCTGCGGGGGCCGTGCTTCGGGGTCCAGCCCTTCCCCAGCCCCAGCCCTGCGGTGAGTACAGCTTTTGGTACTGAGGAACTGAAGGGATCTGCATGCCGAGGAAGGTGACCTTGGTCCCCTTACGGGGCATGAGGTCCATGGGCAGGGGCTGTGGGCCACTAGTGGCCAAGACAGCACAGCCAGGGAGAGCCAGCCTACGATGCAGCCAGCACAGGAAGGAGGCCAGGCCAGGAGGGAGGACAGAGAGACACAGAAGGGCTTGATGCTGAGCATCCCTGGATCTTGGCTGGTGGAGGTCATGTGGCTGTTTGTCAAATAGTCCGGTTTTCCTCCCTCTGGGTCTATGGTTGGATGGATCCTTGAAATTAGTTTTGGCCGATGAGTTTTGATAAGTGACTTATGTCCCTTCCTGGATGGATGGAGCATTAATTCCCAATGCAAGACCACCTTGGGTACGGTGACCAGAACATTTGGGATTGTGGCTGTTCCACCCGTCTGGGTGGCCAAGTGAGCCCCCGGGACACACGTCAGACATGTGGCATGAGTGAGACATAAACCGCTGTGGTCTCAGGCCATTGAGGTCAGGGGCCTGTCTGTCACTGCAGCCTCACCTAGCCTCAGTGGTTGACGCGGACCACGCATGGCCCCCCTCTCACACGAGCTAGGGCGTGCCATGTTCTATTCAAGCCTGGAAGAGCTGGGCTTCCTGTCACCAGCCACCGGAAGAGTCCTGGCAAGTATGGACAGGAAGACCAGGTAAAATTGAGGCCAAGGCAGAGGGTCCTTATGTGGGAGAATGCCCATGCTTTCTAGAAGGAAGTGGAAAACCATTTGGTCGGCAAAAGGAACATATCCCCTTGAACACGGACACTGCATGGCCCTGCAGCTCATGCCTTTATGTGTCTCAGATGAGGCCTCTCTGCTTATGATAAAGGAGGCAGATAAAGTCACCAACCCAGAGGGAACTGTTTGTTTCCTTAACCATGTAGAAGCTTCTTGAAGGCAACCAAGTTGTTCACAATGAGGCCCATCTCCTTGGCCAGCGCCTACTTAGTACTCCATACAGAAGACACTCAGAAATGTCTGCAGTCCTACACAGCTTGGAGGCCGGCAGTCACCCTCACCCTAGTCTGAGCGGCCATCACTCTTGCCTGAACTGGCACAGTAGCCTCCTGCCTTCCTGTTTCCGCACCTGCCCTTCCCCTCATCCACACACAGCCTGGTGCACAGAAGGTGCTTGGTAACTGTGGAATGGCTGAATGGATAAAAGCCTCATGCCCTTAACCTTTGCCCCATTTGAGGTTGGCAGTTTCATCTCCTCGGGTCTGACTGGGACAAGTTGAGGATGTAGCGTAGGACGTGAATTCACCTCCTCCCGGGGTTGCTGAAGGTATGGGGGCAGCCCGTCTACAGACCAACAACCTGAATTCTAGCCCGACCTTGGCATGGGTGCCCCCCTCACTCTGCGCCTCTGGGCGCTCACCTTCCCAACCACAAACACAGTGGCTGGATGGAATCACCCCAGAGGCGCTCGGACTTCTCAGCACAGCGCACCCTCCCCAGGAGACGGCCGGGCAACCAGGTGCCTCCCCAGAAAGCTCTGAGTATGGCCTAGAAAAATCCACATTGAAAGAAAA